GGTAACTTAAAAATCTTCCCATTTCAAAAGTAGTTACATTAAGAACAAGGCCGACTCAATAGATTAGGAGACCCGGTGCAAATCACGTAAAATAGACCTTTAAATATAAATACAACCTTCAAAAATAACCCAAAAAAACAACAATCAAATGTGACATTGAGATATAATCATATTTCAAACCTAAACAACCAAAATCGGTATAAAAAATCGAAAGGAAATGAATTAAAATCATGAACTAAAAAATATAGAGTAGGATATTACTGAAAAACTACTCTCTCCGTCCCTTAAAACCAAGCTCGTCCAAACTGTACGAGAAATTTGTGCTAATTACTATAACTAGGCCTTACCCAGACCTTATGTAATAAAGAAGTTGCACATTTATAATTAACAATTGCATTTTAATTACATATAAATATTTGTATTTAATGTTTGTATTTAAAAACAAAATACTAAAACAGGAATCTTTAATCAAATAAAAAAGGATTTTGTATATTATGTAGACTATAATTAAAATTTCGGGCCTTCTGAAATCGAAAGACCTTGTGCGGTAGCACTTCTTGCACGCCCTCATCTACGGCTCTGATTTAAGAATAGTGAAAGATGATATAAATTATTGATGGTATGATGAGAAGATAGTAGAATAATGTGATGACATGTAGGATAAATCCAAAAAAAGTAATTGCAATAGTATACGGAATATTATTTTCAGAATTATTGAAAATATGATGAGAAGATTTAGAAATGAGAAGATTTTAATTGTTATGGACGAAAAAGAAAAGTGAGAAGATTTTTTTTTTATGGAAGGAGTATATTAATTACTCCTCTGTCCTCTATTTTCCCCCCTCTGTCATCCTATTTTTGTTGTTGTTCCTATTTACTTGGTCAACATAAATTATTTTAATTTCTTACTTTATATATCAAATTTTTATCAAATTTGATTCTGATTTTTGCGACTTTATAAAGCTTATAATGTAGTGTCTGAATATGTAAAAAAATCCAAAAATAATTTGAATGCAAACAATGATCTATTTACTTTATTGTCGGTCAAACATCGAAAACGGGAGACAATAATAGAGGAACGGTATTAGATTCAGTACTTCACTACTTTGTGTCAGAGTTCTTTATTACCATTATTCAATCTTTACTTCGCATATTCAATCCATATATTGACCTTTTTTGTATCTTTTTTGTACACTTATCTGTCCCCACCAAACAGATGTACAAAAAGGTGTACATATTTTGTTTACACTATGCATTTTCCTTGGTTCTTTGCTAGCTCGTATTTAAATTACAAGCCATTTTTGGAAGACTAGTTTTGATGCTACGACTATTATCTAACTAGTAACTACTAAAGTACACAGAATCCTTTTCTGTGTTCTTGATAATAATAAAAAAAAGTGGAGAAAGAAAGTAAGAAACCATTACAGTGGGTCGGAATAAAACCCTAGAACGTGTCAAACAAAAGAAGCAGTCTATTACTCCTACGTTGCAATTACTACTAGGACTAGTTATCTCTATATACTAATTAATGGCATAAACTGTAATAAAAAAAAATAACCTATTTAGGTCAAACAAAAAGAAGAAGATACGACTTTTACTATTTGACTCTTATTTCACGATATATCCCCATTCCACTTTCATAAGACTTAAATTGAATTGATTAAATTATTGGAATATAATAAAATTGATAAATTTCTAGTTCAATAATTAAATTACTCCGTATGAAAAAACATCATTCAGATAGTAGGTAAACTAACGAAAAGATTTTTGACAACCGCCGACTCTCGAACCAGACTCATAGTTTATCACTTCGACAACAATATAACTCACTGATCCATTAATGGCCTAATGGGCACAACTGAGCCAAAGATGGTTACCGCAATTCTTCCACCACTCACATCCAAATCCACAGTTTTACAACAAAATAAAGAAATTATAATCAAAGAAATTAAATAGCAAAAAAACAATAAAATAAAACTCTTACCCCTTCCAGAGCACCACTTCCAAACACATACAAAAATTTCCTATCTGTTTCTGATACTCTGGCGGCGGTTCAGGAGGATGACGAGTCGACAATACTGTAGCTTCTTCCTCACTCTGCCTCTTATTCATCACGTTCTTTGTCAAACCTCCACTTTCACCACCAACCGTAGATGACCTTGAATTCAGATCTGTTCCATCTTTTAACCCCAAGCTTCGCCCATGACATTCACTCGATGATGTCATCCTTTTACTATTGCTATCTTAGTTCCTTGTTCGCACACAAAAACTCGTCGCGGGAGAAAACCCCGAATCGAAAAACTGCACAATCTATTAGATTGGCAGAAGAACTAAAACCCTAACTAGAGGGACAATGACCTCTGTTACCTTAATTATGAAATCGGACGAAGGGAAGAAAATGAGCAGAGACCGGTGAGCATCAACGATCGCGATCGGCAAGCATCCGTCCAAGCATCTTACGCGCGGCGACTAGGGCTTCTTACGTTAGTTATAGGCAGTAGTTAATAACAAACAATTAATTTGATAAATATTACTCTTTAAATTGTGATAGACAAAAATGTTACTTAGTAACTATTAGCTGGTGACTATTATTGTGTTCAAAATTTACATCGTAGTAATTAAATAAATGTAAGTTATTGTGATATAAACTTTGAACATAATTAAAGTCACTAATACTCCGTAGTTACTAAGCCACATTTTTGTCCATAACATTTTTATTAGTAACATTTAAGGAAAAACACTAATGAAAAGTATATTAAAATAGCTAAAACAGACCAACCTTTTAAATAGATTCAATCAATTCAAAAGTATTTTCAAAATTTTGAGTATTACATAATTCAATTCAGGAAGCAATTGAATTAAAAATATACTCCATAACATATTCACTTGGTCAACACAAAGGAATCTTCATCTATTACTTCATATATATATATATATATATATATATATATAGAGAGAGAGAGAGAGAGAGAGAGAGAAAACTTCATGTCAGGCCATCCTGACGGGCTGCCCCGTCCGGCCGAGCCCGTTTGGGCACCTTCCCGGTGGAATTTTTTGATGAAATTTTTTGAGCATGTTCCTCATCAAGTCTAGTTTGTCCATACCAAATTTCAGCTCAAAATTCGATCGGGAAGGTCGTCAAATGATTTTTGCAAGTTAACTGGTCCGGAAAATACATATTCTGGACCAGTTAACTTGCAAAAATCATTTGACGACCTTCCCGATCTAATTTTGAGCTGAAATTTGGTATGGACAAACTAGACTTGACGAGGAACATGCTCAAAAAATTTCATCAAAAAATTCTACCGGGAAGGTGCCCAAGCGGGCTCGGCCGGACGGGGCAGCCCGTCAGGCCGGCCTGACATGAAGAGCACTCTATATATATATATATATATATATATATATATATATAAGTGATCAAATACAAATCATGCTTAACATACTAACCTACAAACTCAATAATATGCAAAACTCAATAATATGTAACACTTTGAACTTCAATATGTAATACAAATAATGTAAAGATGCACACTGTGAAATTCAATATGCAATACAAATAATATGCAACACTTTGAACTTCAATATGCAATACAAATAATATGCAATACTTTGAACGTCCATATGCAGTACAAATAATGTAAAGATGCACAGTTTGTGACAGTTTGTAGGTTAGCATGGGAGGACTAGTTTGCATGTGATCCCACCCATATATATATATATATATATAGGAAAATCTTCCGGTAAGGTATACCTTACCGGAGCCGCCGTGTGGCCTCCACGTTTTGAGGGCCTTCCCGTTGGAATTTTTCGATGAAATTTTTTGAGCATGTTCTTCATCAAGTCTAGTACATCCATACCAAATTTCAGCAAAACATTCAATCGGGAAGGCAGTCAATCGAGTTTTGGAAGATAACTGCGTTTTATATGTATATATATATAAAGGGTGCAATTATCTTCCAAAAATCATTTGACTGCCTTCCCGATTGAATATTTTGCTGAAATTTGGTATGGATGTACTAGACTTGATGAAGAACATTCTCAAAACATTTCATCGAAAAATTCCACCAGGAAGGCCCTCAAAATGTGGAGGCCGCACGGCGGCTCCGATAAGAGTTCCCTATATATATATATATCAAACACTTATCAAGTTCGATTTTTCTTTTTGGGAATTTGTAAAATTTTTACTTTAGTTTTTGAATATGTAAACTTTATTTACTAAAAATAGTTTGAGTGTGAACAAAGATTCGTTTGATTTATTGTCGGTCAAACATTGTAAACTGCAATTAGACCATCAAATTGGGATGAAGAAATACTAGGTATATATCTGCAAGGTAAAAGAGATGAAGAGATGATTGAAAGATATTGAAAGGACTATAAAATCACTTATATACAAGTGTCATTTTTAATTTTTCAACTGTTATCAAAATTACATTCATAATCTTTCACTTAATTATGATAAAATGTCAATTTGACAATATTGGACAATATTCAAAAGATTAAATATTTTCAAAGTTGAAGATTAAAAGTTTTTTCATTTGAAGAATTAAGACTTAAAAAATAAAAACTGAATATCGTGTTAGGATGTTTTTACTTGGATTGTAATTTGCTGAACTGGTCTGGTCTAGTCAGATTTCTTTGTATTTTTATAACTACCCAAGTCTGGTTTGGTCTGTGTTCTGGTCTGGTCTGGGACAGATTACAATCCAAGTAAAAACTTCAACAATAAGGATTTTTCACCTGGACTAAACTTTGTTGGTCTGGTCTGCTCTATTTAAATCTAGTCTGTTCTAATTTGAACTGATGTGGTCTGGTCTGCTCCGTATATTACTATAGAAGTCATCTAATCTGACCTAGATATTCTATTAAATCTAGTATGATATTAGTTCTAATTTGGAGTGATAAAATTTTGAATAGAGTGGAGTAGCAAACAACTCCATATTTAAGTGACTTAGCTGTAAAGACTTTCGTCTATTTAAGTCTTTCATAGTTTGATCTCACTCACTGTCAGCACATACATCTAAGACTTTCTAGACTCTTCACATTTCCAAGTGTCAGCCATGCAGAGCAGAGCACTCTCCGCCACCGCACTCCCACCCGTCCAACGCCCAACCACCCAACTCCGCCGTATCCCACCAATCTCCGCCATCGCAGCCCCGCCCAAACCACTCCGTTACCAGACAATGCACTCACTTCCGCCGGGAAAAGTCGAGATCTTCAAGTCGCTGGAGTCTTGGGCCTCCCAGACGGTGCTCCCTTATCTCAAGCCCGTGGATAAAGGGTGGCAGCCCAACGAGTTCCTCCCGGACCCATCGAGGCCCAATGGGGAGTTCTTTGATGACGTCAAGGCCCTCCGGGAGCGGGCTTCTGGGCTCCCGGACGCGTTCTTTGTGGTCCTGGTCGGCGACATGGTGACGGAGGACGCGCTGCCGACTTATCAGACGATGATCAACACGCTCGACGGCGTGCGGGATGAGAGCGGGGCCAGCCCGAGTCCGTGGGCCACCTGGACTCGGGCCTGGACCGCTGAGGAGAACCGCCATGGCGATTTGCTCCGGACTTACCTCTACCTCTCGGGTCGGGTCGACATGGCTATGGTCGAAAAAACGGTGCAGTACTTGATTGGAGCTGGAATGGTTTGTCACTCTTACTCAAACTCCTCTTTTTTCATTTTGGATCAAGTTCTTAATAGTTATGGTACGGTTTAGTTTTGTTGATTATAAATTTAAGAATTCGTTAATAATTTAATACTACGTACTATTAAAACACTACAAGAAAATTGTGGGATTAACACGGATTTAGTCATGATTTCGTGTCAAAGTGTTTTTGACACGGATTTGACATATCCTTGTCAAATCCTTCATGAATTTTTTTTCAAATCCATGCCAAAATTCTTGCTAATTCCGTGTTTTTTTGTTAGTAAAAATACGGAATAGTAATAATTAGAACATACCCCCATTTACAGAGCAATACAGTTGAATTGAATTTCAATAATTGTGAAAGTTTTATGCTCTACTCGTACCCGGATTATCATTTTGAAATTTAATCCGTTAACATAATTCTGTGTTATTTGTCTATTTTGCACTACCTATATATTCTAGAACATTTTGTTATTCACGTAAGTTTTTATCTTTAAATAACTTTTTGCTCTACAGTTACATTTTTCGTGTTTGTTTTAAGTTTTAGGAGATCATTACAATTAAAAAGTTGTCTTATTAATTATTTGGCTTCGGTTTCCAAATGGCGAATTGAGACTATCCTGAAACAAAAAAAGAATATAAAATTTAACAATGAAATACATATATACTAAATATTTGAGATGATAAAAACATTCAGTGCAATATAAGTTTTATAAAGTTGAAAGTATATAAATTATACAATCCAAAAGTTATACACCCTTATGAATCTGAATAATACATACTACGGATATAACATCTAGAAAAATCAACTATTAGTACATGCTAATTTTTCCGAGACTTCTGTAAAAGTGTCCCGCTGCCAAGCACCTCTTGCATCTCTTCTCTTGCACCTCCTCTCTGGCACCTTCTAGCTTTTGTACTATTTAAAAAGTCTTTAAAAACTTAGCTTCTAATTATATGTTTGGCATGCCAATTTTTAAGAGCTTTATAAAAATAAAAGATCTTTTTTGAGATGTTACAGCGAGTAGATCTCAAATAAGTTTGTAGGTTCTAACATTAATTAGTCCCAACAGCTTGTATACCAAACAGAGCTAAATCAAACAGTTGGCTTTTTATCAAACAGCTACTACCGTTTTCTTTTAAGATCGTTTCAGAGACTAAAACCTAATACTCCGTAGTTACAAAAAAGCTCATAAAAGTTTCTTTTCGGCTAGATGTGTCAAACATACCCTAATTGCATTAACTAAGGGTCAATGTAGCATAGAAAAGTAAAGATTAAAGTGTAATTAATTTGGTTTTAGGGAAAGTTATACATATGACCAAATCTTGAAAAGAATTTTATCTTAATAGCGTTTGAAGATATACGAAGTACATAGGTATGGATGTTCGTTGCGTTAATCAGATCGAATATGCAATGAGTTCATTCAAACAGAGTTTAATTAGTTATTATTGTAACAAAAGATCGATTGTTGACGACAACCAATGCATATGAAGAATACTACTGTATTACTCCCGTGAGGCTAGATGATAATTACTAGTTCAATTCAACTGGTTATTTTCAAAGTCAATTGTGAAACAAATTTTAAGTATTTACTTAAAATTGATCGCAAATAATAATATGTGAGAATATCGGGTACAATCTCTAAATATGTATCCTCTGATTCTTCACTTGCAATTTGATATGAATATAATTAAAGAATTTAATTTAAAATTAAATCTCTAATTCTTCAAAACTCGAACGTTCTTCGAATCTTCGAATCTTCGTTCTTGAGATCTTCGAATCTTCGAACTTCGTTCTTCAGATCTTCAAATCTTCTTGAATGCAAAATTCAATATTGAAGGGCCTCCGGTTTCAAGTAGCTTGATCTTCAACAAAAGGGCCGTTATGTGGCTTGATCTTCTGTTAAAGGGCTTCCCGGGATATATGACTTGATCTTCAATTGAATATTGATTCAATCTTCATATGAATATCTTCATATCTTCAAAGATTCGTTCTTCATATCTTCGAATCTTCAAAGCTTCGTTCTTCAGATCTTCGAATCTTCAAGCTTCGTTCTTCAGATCTTCGAACGTTCTTCAACTTTTGGCTTTGTTTGATCAAGAATCGATGAAATCACAAAGGATTATTCATATATTCTTGACAAAAACGTGGCTTGATCTCTTCCTCTTCTTCGAAATCCTTCAGAGCCTTTCGGGAGTTCTTCAGAGCTTTGCTGCAGCGTTTCTTCATCTGGAAGTTCTCCTCCATTCCTCTCATCTGAGACCCCTATTTATAGGTGTGGAGGGAGTGAAAATGTGACCTAGGGTTGCAGAAATTCGTCCATATACCTTGGGCCTCAATTAAAATGGGCTTCGGGCTATATTTTCTTGCATTTTATTAGCTAGAAAAATCAGCACTTATATAATGTATCTGGACAGCTTTCTTAACAAGGTTCAGAGCTATTTCTCATGCATATGAGCATATTTTTAACCAGATTCGTCCTCTTTATCAATCGGATCATGCCTCTTATGTATTGAGCCAATATTTGATGACGGGCTCAAAATAGAGAAATTAAAAGGACCGGACCATTCTTTTAAAGATTTAATTTATAATTAAATTAATTGGACATTTTAAATAATCCAAATTAATTTAATCACTAAATTTCTTCTTCAGCTCACTATCTTCTACTTTCTTATGAGGCCAAAAGAGCATCGCGAGCGGCCGAACAGAATTGAACATCAGACCAAAATCATTCGAAAACAGCCCAATCATTTATATTCAATCTTAAAGCTCAACTAATTCACATAAATGGCCCAACCATTTTTATGTGTCCACATCAATTACTCGGTATATGTTAAGTTTTAGCTTATTAGATTGAATTCAGTCTTGGATTCAGAGTATCAGAATCTACTTGCATTAATTAGATCAGAAATAGCCAATCAAGAACATACAATTTTGGATAGTAGTAAATAGGTAGTAATACATACGGAGTATAATATCATTCCTTACAAGACTAGATTATATTTAAACAAATCTTAGTTTAAAATGTCATACATTGATTTAACTTATCAGTTTCAAATAAAAACATTCTTAATTTCTCTTTTGAGCTTTGATTTTTACCACAACTCCCATTGGTTAACCTATGGGTCAAAGCTCAGATCAAAAGAGAAACTAAGAATGTTTTTTTATCTCTTATCTTAGCTAGTGGTCAACCTAGGTCCCGTTCTGGCCCAAATTATTACTCCCTCCGTCCCATTTATATTGTCCTGTTTTACCTTTTCGGGGAGTCTCACTTAAATTGTCTCATACCATATTTGGCAAAGTTTGTGTGACTCTAAATCATTCTTACTTTATTCTTACTTTATCAATTAATATCAATCACACAAACTCACTTTTCTTAATAACCGTGCCACCCTCTTCCTGGACAATATAAATAGGACAGAGGTAGTATTTTTTTATATTTTTTTATAATTTTTTTTACAAAAATATTCTTTGTATCGGCCTAGTATGGCCCAATGCCCTGGCTCCGTCCCTGATCGGCTGATCCTACTCACTAAAAAAATTACGATTTTGAAGTCATTAGAATCTTGGGCATCATAGACGTTTCTCAAGCCCGTCGACAAGATCAGCTGGCAGCTCAATGGCTCCTCCCGCACTGAGAAAAGCACAACGACGATTTCTTTGGTGAACTTAGAGCTCTCCGGGAGCGGGATTCTGGGTTTTCACATGCTTTATTTGTGGTCCTGGGTGACCGAGGATGCCATGTCCAGTTATCAGACCATACTTTACACGATTCATGGCATTAGCGAATAAGAGCGAAAAAGCTAAGGGTCCATTGTTGAGATTGAAACTTGCAACCTTTTGTACTCTAGAGTCCACGTAGGGAAGTTTAAGCGTACGTATATACACATATACACCCTAAAGTCGCAGGAGAAGGACGAGCGCTGTCACGTGCTCGCCCCTCTGGATCCGTTGTGGTTACCAATATATAACACGAAAAGGCGGGGTCTAAGCGTTCAAGTGTGTGAATTTTGTTTTTGTTTCATTTGATACACACCAAAAAGTACTTCACACATACACTTCACCTAGTACAACATCATTAATTGTTCTAACTAATTAATTCAAGTAGTTTTTATTAGTTTTATTTCTTCAGTTGTGCCTAATTCTTGGTGGGTATTGTTTCATGGAAACGTTGTTTGCAAAATTTGGGCATGTCCATTGGTTTTTTGATTTCATGGTTTATAAATTTTCATGCTTTTTATAACGTACGTCAAACTGGAGCTATCCAGTTGTACCAATTATTTGGCCATTTTCAAGATTTTTTGCCAAGGAGAAATATAAGACCAACCATTAGTGATTTTCACAAATAAACATATCATTATTTATTTCTAAACAAGTCAATTAGTCACATTTTCAGAAATATGGTACATTTTAGTCTTGTTTACGAATTCTTTCATTTTCTTCTACCTACAGGTACCACAAGACGAGGTCTAATAAGCATTACTAACCAATGAAGTTTAATCCTTTTTTTTTTGGCAGAAATGATCTTATCAAGTTGTTTCTTTTCTTAGCTACCTGATGAGTATTATTCGAGTATTTGGTATGGAGTTGGTCAGGTCATTTCAAATAGTTGGGCATTTTATAAGAAATAATAGCTCATTCACTCCTTTTTTAAAAGTCCTAATTTGGGAAATACAACAACATACTACGTGTTATTTTAGAACTTCGCTCACGTTTTACTCCTTTTTGAGCATTTGTTTTCATAATTTGATTGTTAGGCATTTTATTGGAGGCTATAAGGAGATTTCCGTGATAAACCTAGGTTTATATATGTTCAGTCATGAAATATGACAAACAAAAAAGAGGAGGGATTCTTATCTCTCAACATCTAAGCTCTAGCTTCTTGGTCACATTTTCATGTTTAAGTCATGCACTGCATGGCGTTCTCCAATAATCCTCCACCATTCTTTGACCAACGGATCGTCTCACTTCGGCGTCTACCTCCAATATCTGCCATCGGAGCACCACCCAAACCACTCCGTTACCATAATACACACTCATTGCCCCTCGAAAAAGTCGAGATTTTCAAGTCGTTGGAGTCTTGGGTATCCCACACGGTTCTCCCTTTCATCAAGCCTGTCGACAAAAGTTGGCAGCCCAATGAGCTCCTCCCTGACCCGGCAAAGCCTAACGATGAGTTCTTCGATGAAGTTCGAGCCCTCCGGGAACGGGCTTCTAGGCTTTCGGATGCTTACTTTGTGGCTCTGGTGGGTGACATGGTGACTGAGGATGCACTGCCCACTTATCAGACCTTCTTTAATACGCTAGATGGCGTGCGCGATGAGACTGCGTCCAGTCTGATTCCTTGGGCTATTTGGACTCGGGCCTGGACAGCCGAGGAGAACCGCCACGGCGACTTGCTCCGGACTTATGTCTATCTTTCGGGTAGGGTGGACATGACCATGGTTGAAAGAACGGTGCAGCACTTGATTGGAGCCGGAATGGTTAGTGAGTTAGTCACACTTGAATCAAACTCATTTCCTTTTGCATGTCCTTATCATCCTTCCATTTTTTCCCGTTGGATTTACTTCTTTTAACACTCTTCCTCCGACTACTTTCCTCGTTCAAATCACCATTACTAGCTATTAATAATTAAAATTTTCATATATAGACATCACAACAAAAGTTTATTGTATTGCAAAGAATAATATATGGTGATAGTTCTTTCATAAAAAGCTGACTGTTTGATTTAGTTATGTGTGACATTCAAGGTATTGTTTGATATAGCATCTCAAAAATGACTTATTTCTTAAAAGATTTTTAAAAATTGTCATGTTAAACATTCAGTTAGAAGTTTTTACGGACTTTTTATATAATATGTAGTATAAAAGTTAGAAGGTAAAGACTTACATCTACCAAACATGCTCATAGACTCATAGTATTTACAAAAGTTTAATAAAAAAAGGATGAAAAGAGAGTTATTAAGTGCACAAAACATCATAGTATTTGGGAAAAAAGAGTCAAATAATTTTACTATTATGAAATGTGTGATCTAAACATTTTACGTTGTGAGGAAGAATGATACGGAGTAATCTAATGATAATTTAGTGGTTCACTTAACTTGATTGTTTTTAGGAATGAGTTGTGTATACATAGTAGGATACACGGTAAGGGGACTACGTGCTCATTAGGGAGCCCGCGACACGCTCGCTAAAATTATTGTTGTTTGGTATGGCATTGGCCGGTTGGGTCATTTTAACTAGTTTGGCATTTTCATAATGAGAAAATATCCTAAATAAAAGTAAAATATATTGAAATAAGAGTATCATATTGTTTTCTTGAAATGTGAGTTGGGAAGTTAAATCTGTTTAGGGAATACAACATACGGAGTATATATTAAGTACTCTTTTCGTCCCGCTGTGATTATCTTATTTTATTCTTTTAGGTCCGTCATACTAAGATTTCATAACAAATTTGATAAAGTTTGTACTCTATATTATTCTAAATCATTTTTAGTTTATTCTTACTTTATAAATTCAATATCAACCACATAGTATTATTTTAAAACTTTGTTCATGTTTTACTTCATTTTGAGCACATTTTTCATAATTTGATTGTTACGCATTTTATTGACAAACAGAGATTTGCGTGATAAACTGATTTGCGTGATAAACTAGCCAGGTTTCCCATATTTAAATATGGAAGAAATTTCACTTTTGGTCCTCTGAGTTTTGCACCAATTCCACAATTAGTCCCCGTCTTTCACTTTATCCATTTTTGGTACCTGACTATTGTTTTCTTGACCATATACAGTTCTTTTCTGGTAGTAAAAATGCCCAGAGATGGACCGAAAATGATCAAAAAATAATAGTCAGGTACCAAAAATGGATAAAGTGAAAGATGGGGACTAAATATGAAAATAACACAAAACTCGGAGTGGGAGGACCTAAAATGGAATTGATTCTTTAAATAGGTTCAGTTATGGCTTATGACAAACAGAAAAGAAGATTCGTATCTCTATTTAACACTTCGATCCGGCTCTCACGCACATGGCATATCACTCACCTACTAAGCTCTTGTTAGTCACATTTTCGTGTTTAAGCCATGCACTTCATAGCATTCTCTAATAATCCACCACCATCCTTTCACCAAAAGACCGTCTCACTCCGCCGTCTACCTCCAATATCCGCCATCGGAGAGCCACCCAAACCACTTCGGTACAAGACTACACACTCATTGCGCCCTGACAAAGTTGAGATTTTCAAGTCGTTGGAGTCTTGGGCATCCCACACGGTCCGGCCTCCCTTTCATCAAGCCCGTTGATAAAAGTTGGCAGCCCAATGAGCTCCTCCCGGACCCGGCCAAGCCTATCGATGAGTTCTTTGATGAAGTTAGAGCCCTCCGGGAGCAGGCTTCTGGGCTTTCAGATGCTTACTTTGTGGCTCTGGTGGGTGACATGGTGACTGAGGAGGCACTACCCACTTATCAGTCCCTAATGAACACGTTCGATGGCGTGCGCGATAAGACTACGTCCAGCCCGATTCCTTGGGCTATTTGGACTCGGGCCTGGACTGCGGAGGAGAACCGCCACAGCAACTTGCTCCGGACTTATGTCTACCTTTCGGGTAGGGTGTGGACATGACCATGGTTGAAAAAACGGTGCAGTACTTGATTGGAGCTGGAATGGTTTGTCACACTTGAATTAAACTCATTTTTCCCGTTGGGTTACTTCTTATAATTAACACTCTTCCTCCAGTGACTTTTCTGGTTCGGTTTACCATTACTATCTATTACCGAGTAATAATTAGAATTTTCATATACAGATGGAGAACAAAAGTTTATTGTTCCCCAAACACTAATAGTATTTACAAAAGTTAAATATAAAACAGAGATGAAAGGAGATTTAACTGCAGAAAACATAGATTAAAAGAGCTAGAATCTTTGTTTTCAAAAAACGAAAAAGTTAGAACCTTTTGATTTCATTAGTTTTTACTACATTGGCAGAACCTTTGAATTACCTCTCCATTTTGAGTTCAATTTGAGCTCTATTAATCAATTATTAGGGCTATTTGCGAGGTGTGTTTGTGCACAATTGTTGGAATTTCCAATTTACCCTAATTTGTGCAGTATATTAATTGGGATAATTTCCTGAATATAAGTTACTCTAAGTATGATGGACATTGTGTGATTGAAAAGTGCAAAAAAAAAATGTTGAATGACGAAGATATCTTTATTTAAAATATGTGCATTTCCCACTATTTTCATGCAATTAAAAATGTTGCACTTTATACTGCGATCATTGCATGACATTAATGCACATCCAATAATAATCATTGCAATTTCATCAACATAAATTCTTTTCTCATTCAGTTTAGGAATTTATGTACATTTGTTTTTATATGTTAGATTTTTTTTTATCGTTATATTTTAGATTTAATAATTTGAATATTTTACATCCAATTAAATATATTTAATTTATGCCTTGTGTAAAAATTTAAGTTTTTAGAAGTTACATTAACCCTTTAATTAAAAATATTGTGCATTTGACCACAAACGGATAAATGGGCAGGATTCAGGCACAGAGAACAACCCGTACTTGGGATTCGTGTACACATCGTTCCAAGAGCGAGCCACATTTGTGGCTCACGGCAACACGGCTCGGCTCGCCAAGGAGGGCGGCGACCCGGTGCTGGCGCGCATCTGCGGGACCATCGCCGCCGACGAGAAGCGCCACGAGAACGCCTACTGCAAAATCGTCGAGAAGCTCCTCGAGGTGGACCCCGACGGAGCCATGGTGGCCATCGGCGACATGATGCGGAAGAAGATCACTATGCCGGCGTACCTCATGACCGACGGCCGCGACCCCAACCTCTTCGAACACTTCTCCGCCGTCGCGCAATCCCTCGGCGTCTACACCGCCCACGATTACGCCGATATTCTGGAGTTCCTGATCGGACGGTGGAAATTGGAGGGGCTCGGGGGATTGTCGGGGCAGGGGAGGGATGCACAGGAGTTCGTGTGTGGCCTCCCGTCGAGGATTAAGAAGCTGCAGGATCGAGCCGATGAGCGAGCCAAGAAGTTGGGGCGGCGTGAAGTCAAGTTCAGCTGGATTTTCGATAGGGAAGTTTTAATATGAGATGTTTTCCTTCATTTTAAATTTAAATTGATCTTCTGATATGTATGTGTCAAACTGTGTCGGACCGGTAATAAAACTAGATATATTGGACATTAAATAAAGAACTCCTGATAGGAATTAGAAAATTTGAATTCGTGTCATATTTTATCCAACATTTTGATCTAGTTATGCCATTTGCTAAGTATATAAAGTTATGATTACACAAGTTTCTGTGTATGAAAAACAGGCAAAACTGTAAAAACTACTCCCTCCCTTTCCGTTTATTTGACTAATTTGACAAGTCAACATTTTGGACACTGCTTGTTTCATCCATTTTGATACTTCTAAAAAAGGAAAATGTGTCAAAAATGTGTCAAAGAAACAGAAACGGAGAGAGTATCATTACGGAGTAAAATCTTTTTATGCATATTAGGATTATCACTAAAAAAGAGGCTGAAAATGCCGAAAGGGTGGGAACTTATTTTGGGATTTTTTCCAGTGAGGAGTTACGCAGATTCTACTTTGTGATATTATTGGACATGTTCAAACTATACAGCTCTCGATTGAGGGTTGTGCAAGGAAAACCAAATTAGAAGGAAGTATTAAAGCTTTTCTAAATATAATCAGACAGCGAGGAAACATACAATAATTATAAGTGATGCAATAGTGGCATCTAAGATGAAAGTATGAAACCAAACAACGAAAAAACTTAGATTAAAGAGTGATACAATTTCTTCGTATATCAAAAGATCGAGAAGGGAGAATACAAAATCTCCGAGCAAAGCAAAAACACAACAAACAGAATCAAGAGCAAAAGCAATAGCATAGATTGGAACCAGTCTTCTCTATGCTACTGCAATAAAGCTAAAGTTTTTATTTCCTTACAAAACAGTGTGAGTGTGTGTGAGAGACTGAGAGGGAGAGAGGATCTCAGTGGTCCATCTTGATCATGCACCTCAAGCCTTCACCTTTGAGCATGAGATCAAAGGCCTTGTTGATCTCAGAAAAGGGGATCTGATGGGTGATGAACTTCTCCAGCTCAAGCTCCTTGCTCATGTACTTCTCCACGACGGAAGGCAAGTCGGTTCTCGGCTTGTAGTTGCCGAAGAATGTCCCCTTTAGCGTCCTCTCGTTCAGTAGATTCATCGGGTGAGTTTTGAATGCGTCGTCTTTGTTCGGCACCCCTACCAGCACTGCAACCCCCCATCCCTGTTCACAACCATTCATCCATTGACATTTGAGATCATCATATATAACAATACAATTCCCTTCACAAAAACAAGGGGTAACAATGGAACTAAACAAAAAAGACTTGGTTTAGTTAACACACATACATCATGAACACATTCGAAAGCAGAGATCATAGCATTCACATTCCCAGTACATTCCACGCTCCGGTCCACGCCCCCGTTTGTCATCTCAGCAATCACCTGCCATAATACACACACCTCTCTTATTAGACTGCTTTAATTCTGGAGAAGGGCAACTATGTACTCATAACTTATAATAAGGCTAAAGAAGGAAGTAACCTCTTGAACTGGCCTGTTGTGCTCTTTTGGATTCACAAACTCTGTAACTCCAAACTTTTTTGCTGTGCATGGAGTAAAATAAAACACAATGAGCTTCTTCTTCTTCTTTGAAGATGAAAAGTAATGCAACCTAACAATAAAATCAGTCTATTCCTAGCCATACCTAAGATAGGAATCCTCATAGGCGCTAAGCCTAATCCTCATAGGATGTTTGTATAGGTGTCAAACCATCCTATACATAAATATACAAATTCATGTATAAAGGCACTAAACTACTCCTATACTTTGATCCTGATAAGAAATCATCCAATCACACTAAATTCTAGATTGGTGCTCTCCAATAAACCACAATCTTGCGGAAAACGTTAACCAATCCAAGCTAACAGTATATGAAAGATAAACAAACTACTCCTATAAATTTAACCTTTCAAAATGAAACCCTATACTTTAATAAACACACCTTAAAAAGTTTTTTATGTTTATTTAAGGAAGAGATACATCAGTGCATTTTCAAAACCATAATAAATGCTTAAATGAGAAACCAATTAAAACAAAGACCACATATATACAACTAAGGCATGAACCAGTCCTGTTTAGATAGTTGCAAGTCTGATATCATTATATTAACTCATTATGAAGTGTCTTTAGAACATTGCAAGTCACATATTATTATATCAACTCATTATTAAGTGCCTTTATGATATTGCAAGTCACATAATGCTATATCAACTCATTAAGTAGTTATTAGAAATACCCTTCTAAATGTATTATGAATGTGTTCCTTGGACACACACAAAAGCCAATACTGCTGAACTACTCACCATCTTTAAACCTATTGGGGTTCAAATCAATACCGATGATCCTGGCTGCCCCAGCCAACCTAGCTCCTTCAGCAGCCTAATAATATTGTTCAAAGATAGGTGAAAATCAATAAGGAAGTAGGGAAATGGTACAAAGGATAGGTGAGGTGTAGTACTCACAGCAAGCCCTACTGCTCCCAATCCAAAAATGGCCACTGATGAGTCTTTTGGTGGCTTTGCAACATTCAGTGTAGCACCTAGTCCTGCATTTCGATACCGACACGCAGATTCATGTAAAATCAAAATCAGCCTACAAAACCAATAGCTTGTTGAAAACTTGATCATATTTGGAAATACTACTTTTTTTAAGATTTTTTCACAAAGTGTCAGCTTCTTCTACGAGGTTGCAAATCTGTAGTTACAGGTATTTTTAAACTGATTTATTTTGTCCTTCTTTGAAGGGTTTTAATATTAATTAGTCTCTAACTCTATTTCTAGGAAACTATATTCAAACAGAAACTGATTGTGATTACATTCAATTGCAAAAACAATTGATCTATAATTGAAATAACAAATAACACAAAACAACCTAACAACACAAATATTGAATAAATTGTAAATATCTCCATTCAAAACAGAATGATCTGTAGCTAACCTGTGGAAATTCCACAGCTGAGAACACAGACTTTGTCAAGAGGAGCCTGAGGGTTGATCTTGGCAACACACCCAGCGTGGACGACAGTGTATTCACTGAAGGTGGAAGTTCCCACAAAGTGATAAATGGGCTTCCCATCCTTAGTAGTGAACCGCGTCTTCCCATCTTCAATCATAACCCCTCTGTCTGTGTTGATCCGCAGAAGATCACACATGTTGCTCTCTTCTGATTTACAGTGTCTGCATTCCCCACACTCCCCTGTGAACACTGGAAGAACATGGTCTCCTGGTTGCAGGTGTGTCACACCTTCCCCTATACTCTCTACTATCCTACACATTTTCAATAGAAAAAATGAAAGATTAAGTTTCAGTTTGGAATTCAAAAAATACTTGCTCTGCTGATAATCAACATGCTACCAACTGGAGACTAATTCAATATTGCCGAGATAATGACATAAGCAAAGCAAAGTTTTAGCAAAACATAATCAGGAGATCATACCCTCCAGCTTCATGTCCAAAGATTCTAGGGAATAGAGGAGTTTGACCCTGCAGTAAAACATCAATTTTTCTTGTTGGAATAACGTTTACCAAACTCAACCATAGAACTCTCAATCACATGTCTAAAAATGAAGTCTTTTACAAGTTTTACGATCATGATTTACCACTGTAAAATTATTTAATCACAGCATGATACGGAGTATAAGTGGCCCAAATGATAATACACCTCAAACCCACCACTTCCTGAGATTCTGGTATATCATTCGCATTTGGCAGTCCACCAGATTTTTTTTGAGTATAGAAGAAAACTTAATTCTTTTTATCTTCCAGATGAATTCGAACAGATGAAGAAACTTTGTACTTACCTTGGCTTCCCAGAAGTAAACATCAGTGTGGCAAAGGGAAGTATAGAGAATCTTCAGGCGAACTTCCATCTTCTGCGGTGTCGCCACATCCACTTCCTCTATCACCAAAGGTTTTCCGGCTTCCCATGCCACGGCAGCTGCAACGGCCGGAAATAAAATTACACCAGTACATCAATTTACAGTGAAATCGAAAAACCCATAGCAGTAATGATCATATTCAATAATCAAGATCAACCCAAATCCATGATGGCCGGAAAGAAACCGACATAAACAAAATCCCCGTAATTAAAGAAAGAGGGAAATTAAATATCATATCGGATCAACCTTTGCAGCGAATGACCTGACCAGCTGTGGGGCAAGACATGGCGGTTTCTCTGTTTCTTTCTTTCGGGTAAAAGTGGAAAACAATCTAATTTGAGCGAAGCAGAGAAGAAGGAGATATTGATGGAATGCAGACAAGTGTCGGTCTATAAAAGGGCCCGTCTCGTTCGCAACTTGTGGAAGGGGACAATATGCGCAATTGTGGCTGGACCGGAAAGCCCTTCTTTGATAACCGCCTTTTCTCGCGGGAAAGGATCATGAACATTGGTGAATGTCTTTTTATGTTTTTTTCGAAACTCGGTCGTGGCATTTCTGTAGGCGCCTTTGGTTTTCAGGTACTTGTATACGCAAACCGTTGACCACGTGCCAATGTGAGAATATTCTCCACACTTACTAGGCATGTATGAATGTACCAGGTATTTAATTATTTTATTTTAACTTTGTCATCTTTCATTTTTTCCATATTCCAAAAACATATTTCTGTCAATGAGAATTGCATCAGTTCGGTAAATGCGGCCGTCTCTCTAGAGCTTAGGGTTTGATTCTTGCGCAATTTGCGCCTTTTTCTTCGAGAAGTTGGCTTCGGCAGATTCCTTCGTTTTTGTTTGCTTTGCAGGATAGTTTGGGCTTGGATTCAGGGTGTCAGTGGGAGATCGACGCAAAGCACCGAGAGGGCGATGTCTTGTTGTGTGCGACGAAGGCCTAGTCAGCCTTGTTTTTGGATGAGATTTGTCATCTGCTTCGGCGAAGCGGGAAGGCAGATGGACGATTCAAACAGCTGGGCAACGAAGGATAAAGCAACGGGTGGCAGTTTTGCTATGCGAGCAGGACAAGGAGGAATGAACAGGCTTCGTATATTCCAGATTTTGATCGTCAATGGAGAATCAATTGGTGTGGTACCGATGGTACGGCCCGCTCCAGAACCACCGCCAAGGTTTGATCGACGCGATTTGGATTTTGCTTATTTATCTTTTCTGCATTTTAATTTTCAGGTTAAGACGTTTGTGTTTTGTTGTTATTTTATTTTATGTTGTAAGACTCTTGCATTAGGTTTGGGGAATGAGAGGTCTACGGTAATCATCATTGGTTGTATCTGTATATTGCCCAATTTAGGTCTAGTGAGTTATATTGCTTTGTCAAATGTGATTAACTCAGAGTCTCGGCCAAGGGCGGATGGTTACATGTGGTTCTTTTGTTATCATGTACCTCTGCTGAATGCTATTTTATTAATCTAAAGCCACTTTGACGATAAAAAAACATATTTTTGTCACTTTTCTTTTTAATTAATGAACTGGTGTTTCATGTTATTTCTTTCCTCTCCACAAATCTCAATCACAAAACTTTTACTTTTAATTTCTCGTGACAATCAAACTTGACAAAGTTTTGAGGGATGAAGTGAGTATCATCTTTCAATTTTGCAGTTACTTCAGTCTCATTTTATGTGTTTTGTTTTAGTTTGACTAAATTATTAATAAAATGATTGAAAAAATAAAAGCTATCGGTGAGATTTGTGTATAATCAAGTAAACTGTTATGGATCACATATTTCTTTCCAAAAACTAGAAATATAACACTTATTTTGGAAGAATCAAAAAAGGAAAATAAGATAGGTAAATGAGACTTGGGAGTATATTTTTGCAAAATTCATAAATTTATACGTTTATATTAATATATTTAACAAAGAATATATGTATATCGTTTTCATATTATAAATACTTATAATATTATAAATACTTATAATATGAATCAAATAAAAATGAAAGTAGTATAAAATTTGATACTACCTCCATCTCGGTGGACTTTGCCAATTGCAGAGTAGGTGAGAAATAAGAATAGTAAAAACTGTGCGGTTGAAATTTGTGCAGAGGAGAGAGAAATGTGCGGAAACACAAATTAGTTGCTTTAATAGGAAAGTGGCAAAATTTTTTGAAACAATCAAAAAAGGAAAGTTGGCAAAGTCCAATGAGACGGAGGGAATATATTTTTTGTAAAAGTTGGAGAACAAATACAATATTTATAGCATTTTTAAAAAAATGAGTTTCATTTTGGCTGGGCCCCACATATCTTTTGAACTGTTCATTTGAAATTAAAAGGAAAAGCGGACTACTCCACGTAATTGTACATGGATCCGAGTATTGTTTCTTTAGGCAGAAACACTATTCATTTTTGCCACCCCTTTTGTATATAGTAAAATTGTCACAATCAAGGGGTTAACCGACAATAAAAAAGAGATCAAATAGAGCACTAGATTTCCCTCATACGCGAAGCCACCATGGCACCATCATGGAAAAATATGTAGAAAATATATAGAAAAGACTTGCCAACCACCATTAACAAAATTCCACCACCCCATTAATTACATTGAGGAATAAAACACAATCTCTAAACATTACTAGGAAAGAACAAGCTATATGAATTGAAAACATGATTAAGAGTCCGTTTAGTAACCATATTCTTCAACTTATTATCCTTATTAGTTAACTTTCTTAGCATATAAATTTTTGATTTCACACGCTGAATTGTGAATAGTAAAAATAAGTATGATTGAAGTTACTTTTCTGCCTGAAGTTACTTTCGTATATTTTTTTCTTTATTACATTTATATAATATATTTTAAATACTACCCCCGTCTCACTAAGATTGTCCCGTTTTACCATTTCGGTCCGTCCCACTAAGAGTGTCTCATACCGAATTTGGCAAAGTTTGTGTGTCTCTAAATTATTCTTACTTTATTCTTACTTTATCAATTCAATATTAACCACATAAAACACTTTTTGTTAATTTGTGTGTCACTGCCTCTTGTTCCATTGTTAGTGGGATGGAGTGAGTATAAATTTCCCGCAATTCAATTTATTCAGTCAATTTTAGTGTTAACAAAATAGGTTCTCAATATTTGGGAGGAGAAAAGAATGGATGCTGCTGCAACATGCAGGCGACCGCTCTCTTATTATTATTTTCACCGATTAATAGAGTATATTAACTTTAATAATTATAATTTACATTCGTTTTGATAACACAAAAGTCTAAAAAGTACACATTTTTTGTCACAACATCCTTCTACTAACACCTATCGATTACTCCGGGTATCAATTATCAAATATTAACATACGCCCCATTGACTTTTCATTATATCACGATGACATGTTTGACAGTTTTCTCTTTAATCAAATATAGCAAAACATTACAACAGTTAAACTTGCATTAAAGCTGTATACAAAAGGATGTTAAAGAAATTAAGATAAAAGTATACACTCTGTGTACTGATTGAGGTGAATGCTTCGGTAAGACCGTAAGAGGCTCATTCGGAGTGACAGTACTAGAAATAGTTTGGTTGGACTGCTAGTGTAAGAACTTTATATACTTGTATGAAATATGAATGGTATAATGGAATCAGGAAATCCTTATGAGGACTAAAGTAGCATCGATCAATTCGCATGGAAGCTTTTCTTTGTGCAACTTTAATAAATAATTAATTGGAGTAGATGATCAGGTGTACAAATTCCAGGTCAGAAATTGACTCGCCATTTACGGGCGATGACATTGGTTACAGTGACCGAGTTGAAAATTGTCAGGTAGCAGCAGCAGTTGGCGGTCGAGGGGGAGAGAGATGAAGGGATGCTACATACGTTTCTCACAGGTTAAGAGCTTCCAGTTAGAATGGGGGCCTTCGCTGTCATCGTATCTGAATGTCACCCATCCCACTGCCTCTGTCAGCTCTTGTACTTCATCAATGGTCGGCGTAAGATCACGTATATATACCCTGCCTCCGGGTCGTAGGATTCGGTCCATTTCCAACACTATATTGGATATATTACATCTGCACATAGACATAGACACACATACCATTGGAATCCAATATTCATATCTCATACAAGCAGTACAGCTCTAGGAAAGTTAAAGTACTGTATGCTATGGGATGGGATGGCTAAACATGTTAAATCAGATCAATTTTGAGATACGTGTTATATTTTTTAAATTTTAGGGTGTTTGGAAATGATTTTGCTTCTTCTTTTATAAAAGCAGAAGTAGAATCAAATCAAATTCTACTTCTCAAAAACTACTTCTAAGAGCAATTTGGAGCACTTAGAAGTACTTCTACATTTTCATCCATACACTCCAATATCCGTTTCTGCTCCATGATCAGGTTGATTGCTCATCTGAACCTTAATCGTTACTATACCTAGTCAAGACTCAACATTGAGGATTCGATTGTAAAAGGCTAACCCAACAAGATAAGTAATCCTAGAGCGTATATGTTGATTTGGATTTTTTTAATTTGGCCTGTATGAGATGCTTACTGCATAAATGCAATTATTTATCATAATTATTACATCCTATGATTACTATGTTCACATCAAAGTATCAAACAAGTACTATATTTTCCAAATGCATGCTATTGTTTGGTTCATTTGCTTCCCTTATTATATTCCTAATATTACCTGTTCTTCTCTACCGAGAAAAGACCATTTGCATTCAGCAAATCATATGATCTTGGATATGTGTCGAACGGCTCACACCTACAAGTGTACAAGTTCAAATGAAAGTGTATATTGGGAGGGGTTAAAATCTGAATCGAAAAAGGTGATTCTGCATAGAACACTAACCAATCATGCAAGACACCAATGAGGCCGCGGTCATAAATAACAGGCAGTGTATTAGGACCGCTCACAGGAACCACGTTCATAACCCAGCAATCTATCTCATTATCAACTAAAGCTGCTCCAAATCTGCCAGTTATATCCTAAAATCAGTCACCAATTTCACTCAAAAATGTAGGAGTGGGCATTTTGGTTCAGTTTAGCAGAGCTAATCCAATCAACACCGAACCATATGCAATTGGATTAATATTGGTAATTTTTCTTTTCCAAACCATAGTAATCTGAATTGAAAGCAAATACAGCTAAATGGAATAAAAAATACAATAAAACCTTAACATAATCTAAAAAATCCAAGTTGAGCCAAAAAAACCCAAAAAATCTACCCTTGATAAGTTTTTTCTTTGAATTATTTTTGTATAGAAAAAGGAATAATCCTACCCTCCATATCCAGCTTTCATGTCCATAATGTTTCTGAATACCAGGGTTTTCCAGTGGAATGCATTAATGTATCCACGAGCAAGATCATTCATATAGTTAGTATCTGCTCTGTAAATTTCCTTTCTAGACAAAATAGCATCCATTTCTATGCTAAAAAGTCTGTCAGGTGGGTACTTTAGGCGAGCAGGCCATTCAGTCACATTAGAACCATAACCATTTTCAGGTAAACGGGCTATGCATGTCTTCATATTCACATACCTGCAGACAGAAAAAACATGTCAACTTCTTCCAAACCAGATTGAGTGGATTACATATTTGGACGCTCTAAAATCTTGTCAGGATGAAAAAGTGTACAAGCATCTACAAGTAAATTGTGCAATAGTTTGCCAATCCACCGCCCTCTTCCAACTTGAAATAAACAGAATTACATGATTTAGCTGAACATGAAACAATTTTTAACTGTATGACTAACAGTTAGAAATGAACTAATAAAGCAAACGACAAGGTATCGGAAAGAACAAATCTGTAGAATTTAAACTGTAATGGTTCATTAAAGAGAAGAGAAGAAACTTTAATGGGTAGAACAAATGTATAGAGTTAGGACCTCTACTTCTGCAATGAAATTTAATGGTTTGTTCTGCTCTGAATTGATTTGTTCAGGTTTGGTTTGTCAATGTAAGACATTGACCTTTAATCTATTTAATTGGCTATTAGTAAAAACTTTTAAAAATAATATTTTAAAGTTTTACTTCTAGACAAATTTTGTAATATTTTTTTAATACGTAGTATAACTTTTTTAATACATTAATAAATAAAATGTAGTCAAAATAGAGTAGGTGAATAGTGTAAAAATCGACGTGTTGAAACTATTAAAAAACAGAAGTATATTTTGCCACTTTGTAATATTCAAAGTTGATACGGTCTGGTATGTTAAAGGCTTATCTAGGACTGAAATAAATTGAAGTAAACAGGTTCTAAATCTGAGTAGAGAGGGCAAGTTACCAGACATAATCTGGGTCATCATCAGTGCCACATAATGAAGGTGTAGCAGTTGGCCTGCGGTTGACATAACAACTGTTATTCAAAGGTTTTTTCCAAATCGCAATCCCCCCTTCCCCTTTCACAAGTTCCCAACAAAGACGACCCGCAAGATCCTCCATTTCTGCACTTCATTGATTTTGCCAACAAACAATTAGGGAATCATATAGTGATGGATATTTAGGACAGACATT